TGCGCATGCAGCTAACCATGAACACACACACACGCACGCAAGAGCGCAAACACACGCACACGCACGCACAGGCGCACACACGCACACACACACACATATGCACGGAGTGTTGTTTCGTACCCGGGGTGGTGACATGTGCCTGGTGTTGTTGCGCCGTGGCTGTGACTTGTGACTCAGTCCCTGGGATACACACATGCACAAGCAGCGAACCATGAACACACACACACACACACACACACACGCACACACACACACACACGCACGCACACACGCACACACAAGAGCGCGCGCGCACACACACACACATGCACGCACGCACACACACACACACATGCACGCACGTACACACACGCACACGCACGCAAGAGCGCAAACACAAACACGCACACGCACGTACAGGCGCACACATATAATCACTCAGAGATACACACAAGACACTCATGCACATACGGACACAGGCAGGATGGGGCCATTGCGCACCGTGTGTGTCATTGGCGGATTCGTCGGGCAGAGGCAGTAACTCTTCAGTGATGCCGTCGCGGCCAGACGAAAGAGGAGGTCAGGGTGGTTGTTGTGTGAAGTCAAGCGATCATGTGAGGGACAGCCAGGCAGGGGAACACTTGAACACCACATGAAGGCTGTTGGTTGTGGGCAAGAGACGTGGGGATGACAAGTGCGCACCGAGGGTATCGACCAAGTCTTCAGGAGAGATTTGATCGGGAGTGGTGTGGATGGATGCCATCGTTGGAGTGGGGAGGGGTTGGTGGGTGAGGGCAGTGGAGTCGTGGGTGGGTTGTGCAGTGTGGTGGAGAGGACGGGGTCGTTGCAAAAATGTTTATTTGGGTCAGACACGTTTTTCAAAAGGGAGAATATTGGGTGTGTGGTGGGGAGCAATCTCAGGAGCGGTGAGTGGGCCACCGGGAATGCAGACGCACCCGTTGCGCTGCGCCAAAATTGAACGACACCATAAACTGTAGTGCCTTATCGACCGCAACAGCCAGCAGAAAGAGCCGACACACACTATCAACAGACAGACAGCTCACACACCCGCAAGCAGGCGGTACAAGCAGACATAAGTTGTGGAGAGCAGAAGACGGAGAGGCATGGAAGTGACGGTGCAGGTTCTGCCGGGCGGGACGTTTACGTTCACGCTCGAGAATGGCGACGCAACGACGGTGGCGGAGGTGAAGGCGCTCGTGGCAAGCAAGGTTGCGGCGTGCGCGGGCAAGCCATTGCTGACGGTGTTCCAGGGCAAGAAGCTGGCGGACGACGACACGCTTGGCGCAGCTGGCGTCAAAAGCGGCGACAAGCTGTTTGTGGCCGTTGCCCCGCAGGCACAGGGGTCCCAGGGGTCCCCAGCAGGCAGCGACGAGACGAAGCCCGCCCAGCCAGCGGCGACGGGCTCTTCTTCCTCCTCGTCCACGTCAGCAGCGCCCGCAGCCAGCGACTTTGAGGTGATGATTCTGGTTGTGGGCAAGGGCAAGGAGCCACTGCAGCTGCCAAACGGAGAGAACACCACCGTGGAGGCCCTGCAGAAGCTGATTGCGGGCCGATACCCCGACGTCCCCGTGGAGACGCAGGCGCTCGCGGCCAACGGCAAGCGCCTCCAGCCGGGCTCGACCCTCAAGACATACAACATCAAGAACAAGCAGACCATCTATGTTGGGAGACAGGGCGGCGCCGCGCAGCAACAGCAGCAGCCGAAGCCAAGCGACGACGCTCGCTCAGCCGACGAGATTGTGCAGGACATCCTGAAGCACCTCGCAACCCTCAAGCAGTGCGTGTGTGTGTGTGTGTGTGTGTGTCGCGTTTGTGTTTGTGTGTGTGTGTGTGTGTGTGTGTGTGTGCGTGTCTTGCGTGTGTGTGTGTGTGTGTGTGTGTGTGTGTGTGTGTGTGTGTGCGTGCTTTCGTGTGTGTGTGTGTGTGTGCGTGTGTGTGTGTGTGTGTGTGTCGTAACCACACTGGTTTGTTTCGCTCTGTTGTGATTTAGACCATCATACCACCATGTCCTTGGATGTGGATGCGTTCTCAACAAATACGCCGACTCACACACACACACACACACACACACACATGCGCATGCACTTCGCGTCGTCCGCATATCACAGGCAGCTCACGCGTGAGCAGTTTGTCAAGGCCATCCAGAAGTTTGCCAAGCTGCTGGGAAACCTTGTGGACCATCCAGATGACCCCAAGTACCGCCGTGTGCGCAAGGAGAACGCGGCCCTCCAGCGCGACCTCTTTGGGCACCCGGGCGGCGTCGAGGCTGTCCTGTAAGCCAGCTCGCTCACACACATGCACATGTGGCAGTGCAATGGAGTGAACGCATCATGTGTGCGTATGTGTGTCGGCGTGTGTGTGTGCGTGTGTATTCTCGTGGTTTATCCGTGCATCATTATGGCTCTGCTGTCCATCTTTTGAGTTTGGGCTCATCACTTTGCTGCTACTGACCCTTCCCCCGTTGTACCCTCCCCTCTCCCTGATCCCCATTCCCTTCCCCTTCTGTGCCATCAGTGCGATTGGGTTCCGTGAGAGCGAGGAGGAGCCTGGCTCGCTGTATATCCGGCAGCCGAGTCCGCACCTTGGTCGCGTCCGCCAAATGATCCAGGCGGCCATGCGACGACAGAACATCCCATTCCCTTGTACGTTTGATTCGCTGCAGCGGGGCTGGGGTGCATGGGAGGCGAGGGGATGTGTGCTGAGTATGTGTGTGTGTGTGTCTGTGTCTGTGTGTGTGTCTGTGTCTGTGTCTGTGTCTGTGTCTGTGTGTGTCTGTCTGTCTGTCTGTCCTGTCCTGTCCTGTCCTGTCCTGTCCTTCTCTTTCTGTCTTTCCTGTGTCTTCTTGCCGACCCTGCGTCCTTCCGTGACTCATAACCATTTCCCCAACCCCTGACTCTACCCCATCACCACCACGACCACCACCACGTTGCGCACATCAGCTGCCAGCCAGCCCCAGCCGCCGCAGGGCATGGGTATGGGCATGGGCATGCCCGGATTCCCCTTTGGCGCATTCCCCTTTGGTGGGCCGAGCGCAGGCCGTGGCGACGGTGATGATGGTGATGATGACGAGCAGCAGCAGCAGTCGTCGTCGTCATCATCGCCATTCGCACCGCCCCCAATGGGCTCCTCCTTTGGCATGATGCAAGATCCCATGATGCAGCAGCTCATGTCAAACCCAGAGGTGCGTTGTTGTTGTTGTTGTTGTTGTTGTGTCGTGTTTTGTGTGTGTGTGTGTGTGTGTGTGCGTGTGTGTGTGTTTGTGTCATCCTGCCCTGTCTCCAATTTGGTCGCACACACATGTTCATCCCCTTCTCACGTCACCATCACCACTCCATCGCTTCATCCCTTTCCCTCCTCCCATATCAGCTGATGCGAGCTGTTCTCCCGCAGGCCCAGCAGCTCATGTCAAACCCACAGGTGACACCCACGCACCGCCACTTGCTCGGCAGCAGGCACATCATCATGCCACCCACCTCTCGCTCTGCGCACACTCAGACACACACACACACACTCACACTCACAATCACAATCACACAATCTCACTCACACACTCCGTCCCTCCATCCCCCTTCAACCATGTTCACCACCGCCACCATTGCATGCGCACCAGATGATGCAGCAGATGCTGCAGCAGGCGGCGAGCGACCCCCGATTCGCCAACAACCCCATGCTCTCCTCCCTCCTCCAGGACCCGCAGGTCCGCTGTCATGCGTGCAAGGAGAGGGAATGGCTGTCTGCCCGTCTGTGTGTCTAATTGCGTGTGTTTGTTGTTTTCACCACTGCTCACAACCATCACCACCCTCGTCGTCGTCGTCGTCACCACAGGCGATGCAGCAGATGTCTGCCATGGCGAGCCAGTTTGCAGCGAACCCGCAGGTCAGACAACCACACACACACAAGCACACACACCCACACATACAGAGTTACACACACACACACACATACGCGCGCACACACACAATCGATTGTCAGCCCACCTCTTCACGCCCTCTGCTCACCCCTGCCACTGGTGTCCAGATGATGGAGTCGATGATGGGATCGCTCGGTGGAATGGGCGGAATGGGCGGAATGGGCGGAATGGGCGGAATGGGCGGAATGGGTGGAACACAACAACAGCAACAACAACAACAGCAGCAAGAGCAGCAGCAGCAGCCCGGAGGACAGCAACCAGGAGGACAGCAGCAGCAGCAGCCGTCGCCGTGGGGAGGATTGTAAGTTGATGGCGGAGGGAAATGGAGGCAGGTGAAGTCGTGTGGAGAGCTGGTGGTACCTTGTGCCTGTTGCACGATGTTGTGAACACATGCATATGCTCACTCAAACACACACACACACACACCCTCCCAATCAGTGGCGGGTCGTCGCTGCAGGCGCAGGAGGACGCGATGATGGCGGAGGCGATTCGCCGCTCCCTGCAGGACCAGAGCAACCCACCACCCGGCAACAACAACAGCAACAACAACAGCAACGGCAATGGTGGTGGCAGCGGCGGTCGGGATGATGTGCCGGATGTGGACTGATGCGCTTTGCGTCAAGTGTGCACAGTTGAGTTTGGTACCGTTTGTGTGTGTGTGTGTGTGTGCGTGTGTGTGTGTGTGTGAGTGTGTGTGTGTGTGTGAGTGTGTGTGTGTGTGTGTGTGTGTGTGTGTGGATGTGTGTGTGTGGAAGTATGTGTGTGTGTGTGTCTGTCTGTCTGTCTGTCTGTCTGTCTGTCTGTCTGTCTGTCTGTCTGTCTGTCTGTCTGTCTGTGTTCCGTCACTCGAGCAATTCACATCAAGCAAACATATACAGTCTCAGCATGGCTGATCGATCAGTTGAAACTCGTTGATGGGATGGGTTCAGTTTAGGGGCGGGGGATAACGCGTGCAATAGAAGATGGGTCAGTGGAAGACGAGGAGGGGGTTGCGTGAGCAGAGAAGCTGCCACGAGTGATGACAGGGGCAAGGATGTGGTCAGGGTTGAAGGGAGCTTCTTCACCCCACACATTCCTCATGGCGTGTGGCTGAGCAGCTGCATGCGAACGCTGTCATTGTGCTGGTACAGAATCGCACATGGGAACAGTTCATCGGTTGGTTGGAAGACGTTCTGGTACGCCACGCCAGCGTTGGTGCCATTGACGATGAACGAAATGGTGCGAGCGTTGCGATCCACCACCATGTCGACGACAGCGCCGTTTGAGAGCCTTCCAGTGGATGCATCATAAGTCTTGCCCCTGAAGCTGGTGGGCGGACCCGAATAGAGGGTGCTGTTTGTATGGACGAACCACCCGCTCTGATTGAACATGCTGGTGCCATCCCGGTTGAAGGATGATGGCGCCAGGCCAAGCAAAATGGCGCCACCTGTCTGCATGATAGTGAATCGGACGGTCGTGATGCCGGTCGCAGGGATCGCTTCACCAAGGGCGTTGGTGTCCCACTGATAATTATCAACAGTCTTTGTCACCGTGTCCTGCCGGGTGTTGAGGGTATACTTTTCGCCTGGTGTAAACTTGCACGTCGTTGGCTTCGGAGGCGTGAGGGCCTCCAGCAGCTCTGGCAGCTGGTAGAACTCTGCGTCTTCTCGGAGCGCCTCCAACTCTGCTTTGCTCAGGCGGTCGAGCTTGGGTGGCTGCCCCCGCATGAAGTTGAGGACGTGCCGAAACACGAAAGGGTCGCGGTCGACGAAGAAGGAGCCGTCATCCTCGGGCTGCAGCTCGTGGCGGCCACTGAACATGCCTGCGAAGAAGCTTTTGGCAAACTTGGTTAGCGTCTGCTTGGACGTGGCAAACACAGTTCCGCCAATGTCCAGCTTCACCCTGGACTGCGGCACGACGCTGGCGTCCAGCTTCGTGGCCAGCACCTCCCACGTCGCCTTCTCCTCCGCCAGCGCATTTCGGTCGCGCCGCAGCATGTCCACTTCTTCCTCAAACACGGCCGTCAGCTCCTGGTACTTTGCCTGCAGCCGCCGAATACCGCGCTCAAAGTCGTACGGCTCCACCTCCTTGGCCTTGCCCTTGGCCTTGTCCTCGTCCGCGCTGCCTTGCTTCCTATCCTTGGCATTCTTCTCCTCGGGCTGCTGCTCGCCGCCCTGCTTGTCGACGTCCTGCTTTGGCTTTGGGTCGGACATCTTGTTTGTTTGTTTTGTGGACTTTTGACAACAACACCAACGAAATTTCGGCATTCACCACACTTGGTTGCTGGCCTTCTTGTCCGCTTGTCACAGGTTCAATTTCAACCAGTTCTACACATGGCACACCACAAAGCGCTTGGGTCCAGTTATGTTAACATACGTTCTACACCACAGACTCGCTAGCTGAGTTGCTGTGCACAGAGCTCCCCACCTCCTGCTCCAGCCGTAAGCCCCGTTGTTGTTGTTGTTGTTGTTGTTGTTGTTGTTGTTGTTGCTCTTCTGTGTGCCCATGTGCTTCATCCCTGCCGCCGCCCCGCTCGCCTCCACCACCTCCATCACCATCGTCATCGTCATCGTCGTCGTCGTCGTCAGCGCCATCCGAGAGTGGGGGCATGAGGTGGGCCAGCGATTCAAGCACCGAGCGCATCGTCTGGGCCTGCTCCCGCGCACTCCGCGCTTCACCAAAATCTTCGTCACTGTCCTCAAAACCACTGCTGCTGGTGGGGGTGGTATCAATCACGTCATCGTCATCGTCGTCGCTGCTGCTGCTGCTGTCATCACGACGCCTGCCGCTGTTGTCGTCGTCGTCGTCGTCGTCGTCGCCGTCGTTGTTGTCGTTGTTGTTGTTTGCGCTGAATGTGCTCGCGTGCAGCTGGTCGACAATCGTGCGGATGTCAAACCTCGCCTGCTCGCGGGGCGATTGCCGGCGCGTGAACAGCCGCTGGCACCGCCCGACAATGGCCGCAAAGAACGGGGCGCACGCCACCACCGTGATGAGGATGAACACGCCTGTCAGCGTCCAGAAGGCGAGCCCGTATGTGACGCTGTCGCACTGTCGCCGGCACTCCCGCGAGCACCCAAACACCTGGGCGAACACGTGTGTGTTTGTGTTGGGATAAAGGGCGAGGGGAGGGGTTGGAAGGAAAGGAAGTGGGTGTGAGAATGGGAATGAAAACAGAGAGGTGGAGAAGAGTACTGGGGCCAACAGGCACACAAACCACCAAGCGAACCATCAATCGCAATACGTGAACCAATCACAGTGCGTGGGCGCGGACTCACCCATGCAGCGCCGCAGATGAGCCAAATGCCCCTAAAGTGTGGCAAATGTGTGTGTGTGTATGTGAGTGTGAGTGTGTGTGTGTGTGTGTGTGTGTGTGTGTGTGTGTGTGTGTGTGTGTGTGTGTGTGAGGAAGACAATGGGAGGGGAAACTGCAACACCAGTTGTAAGGGAAGCCAGTGCAAACTGTGAAGTACTCACAGGAAGGTCTGCAGCAGCGATTGAAACTCAATGAACCATCCAAAGCGAAGGTTGATCATCTCCTCGTCCTCTGCGCCCAGGAACCGCGAGGCGTGTGTGAGCGAGAGAGGAACGGTGGCAGATTACGTGTGTGTGTG